CCGCGAATATCGACGCTCTGAACATGATGGGGGATTTCAGCGGGAAAAGAGGCCAGGACAGCACGAAACTGGGTCACCAATGAGGTCGCCGGTGAAGGACGCGTTCTCCCAAACAGGGATGCCGAGCGGAACCTGGCTCTTGCCGATCCCAGGTACCGGCGCGCCGTCGACGCCGGTGAACTCGGCGTTCGTGGGCGCGAGGTCGTAAATGATGCCCAATGGTAAAAGTACGTCCCATGAGTCCTGAGGCTGCTCCAGGATCGCAAAGAAGTCCGCGTCGTTCCTGGACCTTTACTGAATTGAATGCGACCTCGGTCGTTCCCGCTGCGAATAGTGGTCGCACGTTGAAGTCGAACCATCCTCGAACATCTCCCCCGGGCAGTCGATGTCGATGGCTTCGGAGAAATTGCCCTGGAGATCCGACGTCGATACCCCTCGAGGATCCCGAAATCGGCGAGAGATTGTCGTCGTCGCGTCGCCGGGTGCGTTCTTTGAACTTCTGCAGCTTCCAGGGTTGTCGGTCGCGTTCGGGGCGCCCAGGGCGATTCTGCGATCCAAGAACACGAGGGGCCCGAAGGGATTAGTGATGGCATGCTCAACGGTCGTCGACGGCTGGGTCTGTTCTCATCGTCGTCGCACCATGACTGGAGGTCGGCTTATGTCCTCATGGAGGTAGCGACCGTGCCCCCAAAGCTGGTAAACGCGTCGAGCTCCTCCGAGATGCTTGCGAAGTGGCCGCTGCGGTTGGCGCTGACGAAGCAGTAACCGCATTGGTCGTTCTCGTACCACTCCACGTCGTAGTCGTCGCAATCTCCGCCCTCCTCGAAGTGCTGTCTGAAGCCAACGCCTCGTCCTTGATTACCCCATACGCTTGCTTTTCTCTTTGCTTTTGTCCTTCTTGTATCCGTTATAGCTCCTACGTGGTCCCCAGCCACACCCATTGCCACCTTTCTTGCCCTTCGTCCTACTCCTGCCTTTGCCGTCGCTTTTCCTTGACGGTGAACCTCTGTCACCCTTGCTGTCCTCGAGATCCGTGCTATTGCCATTCTGGTGGTCGCTCTTGGCCGGGCAATCTGGCGCGCGGCGCCCCTTGGAGCCGCATTTCGAGCATCCTTGTTCAATGCTCGTCGGTCTCCCTATACCGTTGCCCTTGCTGCCCTTGTAGGTGCTGTCCTCGGCATCGCTCTCGCACTCCCGACCGGTGGAGGTCTCCCAGGATTGATCTTCCCATCCAGAGCTCCAACCGTCGTCGCGCCAATCTGTTTCGCCCCAGTGGGTGCCCAAATCTCCATCATCATACCAAGATTTTCCATGTCAGAAGCCTCCAGAGTCGCCCCGGTAGCTCTTGATATGGTCGGACTTCGCCATCCTGCTGAGTGGGGCCTTGATCTGTCCGCACATGTTCACGTCGCCGTCCACCTTCAGCCTGACGTATTTTATCTTCCGCCGTGGTAGTTCGCTGCCGGAGACTAGTAAGTGCGAACGCCCCATCGGGATGATCCCCAGGCCTGCTGTCTCGGATGCCTCGTCGCAGACCATATCGAAGGCCGCGACGCACTGAACCAGGTCCTTCTGGCCGCGTCTAAACGCGCAGAACTTGTCGGATTGAATCGCCACATTGTTCTGATCGTGCAGTCCGTATTCTTGACCAAGCCATCTTGCGAATTGTGGGAAACCGCCTGGCTGGGCCCCGATGTTCTGAGCTGGCTGCGCTGGCACTGCTGGTAGGGCAAAAGCTTTGTCGCCGACGTAATTGCGGCCGCCCCGCTCGATGGTGAATCTCAACGCCGGTTTTCGAACTCCGCCTTGAAGTCTGGATATTACTTGAAACGCTGTCACCGCCTCATCCGGCTTGTTCTTCGTGCGCCACCAGTTCGAGAGGTTCTGGAGGCACTTGCGTACCGAGTATCGTGGTGTTGTCTCCAAGGTTGAAGACGATGAAAGAAAAAGAACAAGAAGAAGTGTTTCCGTAGTCCTTACCTGGTGTGCTTGATGATGTCTCCCATGTCCGTAGTCCTTCCTTGGTGTGAATGATGATGCCTCTGATTTTGAAGAAAATGAAGAAGAAGAAGAAGAAGAAGAAAAAGTGTGTCCGTAGTCATTACCTGGTGAAAAGGAAGATAGTCCAATTCTGAAGAGGACCAGTCAGCAACACCAGTGGTAGTACTCGTTGCCGTGGTCTGAATACCCAGCGTGATACCCCATGTTCAAAGTGTCTGCGTTGATCTTCCCAAGAGCCTTGATGCCCAACTGTTGGTCGATCGTCCTGTAGTTCGTGAGGATGTTCACGTAGATCGTGAGGATGTTCACGTAGACGGCGTTGATCGTCGCGGTGATCGTGGAGCTGTCCACGATGGGGTATATGGCGCCGCCGATGAATGGCCTGGGCGCCGCGCGCGCGGGGGCCGGACGCTCTGCTACCAAAGGCAGAGACCCTATTTAGTTTGAGCCCGGGCGGTAGCGGAAAATCGTCTCGATAGGAACCGCTCTGTCTCTGCCTTCGGTCCTCAGGAACAGGCTGAAACGAAACGGGCTCTGGACCAGAATCTTCGTTGAGGGGGGGGGGCTAGGGCCCCCCCTCCCCCTGGCGCTGTCTCTCGTGGCGCGCTCTCGCAAATCTTTTCATAAACGCGCATTCGTGCACAATCTATGCCGCGCCACCGATGCTAACTGATCTGCAGCAGCACGCTCAAATTTTAACTCATCCGCTTTGCTTTCGCCCGTTTCTGTTTCATCAATTTTTGTTTCGCCCGCTTTCGTGTCATCAATTTTGCTTCGTCCGGGTTGAATTCGCCCTGTTACACTTCATCCGGCTGCAATTCGCCCAATTAAATTTCATCCGATTCGAACTCGCCTGGCTTAAAAGCGGACGAAACAAAATCGTCCGGAAGAGAAGGCGTGCGGAACAGAAGGCGGGCGAACCAAAAGCGGGCGAAACAAACGGCGGGCGAAACAAAAGCGGGCCAAACAGAAGCGGATGAAACAAAAGGCGGGCGAAACAAAACTCCTCCGTCTTGGACGCCCCTGGGGCCGTCATGGAGCCCTGTTAGGCCGTCCCAGGGCCCTCCTGAGGGCCTCTTGGTCCATTGGGCCGTCTGCGATTGTCTGAAACTCGAAAAGTGGGGGACCCAAAAAAACATAGAAAAAAAACACACGAAATCAACGACTTTTGCCTCCCAGGACACTCGTCTGGGGCCTCGGGCGCCCACTGAAGCCTGCCCGAGGCCGTCCTGGCGCAGCCTGGAAGCCTTCGGAGGCCATTCAAAAGGCATATTCGGCGATCTCGGTGTGTGATGGACCGGTCGGGTAGACTATCGTATCAATGTTTGGGCAATATGTGCGCCCACGGGGCCACTCTGTAGGTCACCAGGGCGCTCGTGGTACACACGTACATACATACATACATACATACATACATACATACATACATACACACATACATACATACATACATACATACATACATACGTACATACATACATACATACATACATAATTTCATGTGTACGTACATACAAATCTACATACATACACCCACACACACACATACATACATACATACATGCATGCATGCATGCATGCATGCATGCATGCATGCATGCATGCATACATACATACATACATGCATGCATGCATGGATGCATGTATGCATGCATGCGTGCGTGCGTACGTACGTACGTACGTACATACATACATACACATACACATACACATACACATACACATACACATACACACACATACACACATACACACATACACATACATACATACATACATACATACATACATACATACATACATACATACATACATACATACATACATACATACATACATACATACATACATACATACACATATATACATACATACGTACACGTACATACGTACATACGTACATACATGCATACAAATAAACATGCATACATACATACATACATACATACACACACACACATACATACATACATACAGACAGACAGACAGACAGACAGACAGACAGACAGACAGACATACAGACATACAGACATACAGACATACATTACATGCATACATACATACATACACACATGCATGCATGCATGCATGCATGCATGCATGCAGAGATACAGACATACAGAAATGCAGACATACATACATACATACAGACACACATACAGACAGACAGACAGACATCCAGACAGACAGCAATGTATACTTCAGCACATTCATGCATGCATACAGACCTTTGTTTATACATACATACACACATACACACAAACACACCTACATGTGCACATACATACATACATGCATACATGCATGCGTGCATGCATTTATTCATACCTGCACACATGCATGAAAGCACGTGTGCATGCATACGTACGTACATACATACATGAATAGATGCATACACACATACATGCAGACATACATACATGCACACACATATACACACATAAATACACAAGTGTGAACGTATGTTAGACACATGTTTGTGTGTACATGTACGTACACACGACCATATATACATGCCCATACATTCATATGAATTCAAAAAATATACACACGTAGTTATATCTATATGTGTATATACACACGAATGCAACAATCCGGGGAATGCACGTCCACGTGCATTAGTCCGCCTTCTTCCAAGGTATGCCTGAGTTCTGAATTGCGCCGCCTTGCTGAAATGGACTGGCGATTAATTTGATTGAATACCACTATGTTCATCACGTTCGCCCTCGCGCACATCGCCGCACGCCTAGTTATCCGCCGATTACGTCCCTTTCATCCTCTTCCACCTCCTCCTCCTCCATCTCCTCACTCCTCCTCCTCCTCCTCCTCCTCCTCCTCCTCCTCCTCCTTCTCCTCCTCCTTCTCATCCTGGACCTCCTGCTTCCTCCAACTCATCCTCTTCCTCGTTCTCACTGCTCCTTCTGCTGCTGCCCCTGCCCGGCGACTTTCCCTTCCACAATGCTTGAACTGGCGGGTTTGCAGCAATAGGACAGCTCCGCCTTCGCAGTCAGCTCCATGGGTGGTATCGCCACTGTCTCCAACTCGTCGCCATCTCGCTCGCCTTTGGGTGACCAGTGTCCACTCGGCCTCTGCCCCCCAACCCTCCCCTCCTCCTCGACCTCACCTACGTCCGTTCCTGCTTGCATTTGGGAACCGCTCTGAATGCTGAATGCTCAACCCCCGTCCGTTCCCTCGGACCCCCTCTCCCCCACACGCACGCACTCCTCGCCCCATCGCGAGACGTCTCGAAAAGCAACCACATCCGCTGTTCAGGACCAGTGGGCCAAGGCAAAGCGA